ACCCCTTTGATAGGTCAATTGTACATATCAGCATTGCTGAATGGAGTGTGTGTCCACATGGAATCCAGGAAAGCAATCAGTAACACAAATCAATGGCCATCATTGGCTTACTATCCCCGTACACCGACCCTGCCGCCACTGCCTGACCACCCACAGTTGGGAACAGCGCCGCCCTTCAGTCCCAGACTCATCCGCCGCGAACGCATACTCACGAATCATTGCCCCAAAAATCGGCAGGCCCTGCCAGCAACGTAGGGCGGGTGTTCCAACACCCGCCCCACACACCATGTCCCCACACGTCCCGACGCTCCGTGCGCATGCTCCTCCACTCGTATTCCCGCACGCCCCGATGGTCTTTCCCGCGAAAGCGGAATCCAAACCCCGTCACCCCCGCACAGATCCCGCCCTGCGCGTGCGCAAATCTACTCCGTCCAGTCCGTCACCTCGTCGCAGACCCATTCCCCAATCTCCTCATTTCCCCGCACCCCAATCGTCCCACACACCCGCCCCCATGCGTTTCATTCCCTGCGAAGCGAATCCAGACACGTCACGCCCGCCAATCCAGGCAGGTCAGGAACCCGCGCGTCGCCCCAGGGCGCCGGTTGAGCCGTCCCCCAAATTTGCTGATCAGTTGCCCCTTATACTTTCCAAGCCTCAATGACAAACGCTAGCCTGAATATATGAAATACAACCGCTGCTGCCGCAGGCCGGATCCGCACGGAGTCGCGCGCAACTCCAAGGGCAAAGGCAAAATATCGGAATGATCGGTTTTGATCGGAAATAAGCGGAATTTCCCAATTTCGAAACTATCAGTAGACTGAACCATGTCGTCGCGCCATATGTCGTTGCGGCCAGATCAGAGCGGCGTCGAGGCCCCTCAAGCGCAAATTCGCCCCCGAGACTCGCCATCATCCGGCTCAGCCGCGTCGCAAGGAGATCACCGGAGCTCTGGCACCTCGCCATTGCCACAAGCAGCCAAACCGACCCCCTACGCCTGCGTCCCTGCAGGGTGGCCGACGACCGGCTTCCGACTCAACACCTATATGGCCTTCGAAAAATACCTCCAGCGGTGCATCGACGACGACAGGCGTCCCGTACTAGGGAATCACCACCTACTCCCCTGGTCCGCCAATGGTCCTTGGCTGAACAACCTGGACGCAATATCCCCGGCACCGCCTGATCCCGTCTCTCCCCGCAATCGGCGGAAATGATCGGAAATGAGTGGAAATCCGGGTTTTTGTCGGCACAGGTCCTATAACGGAAGTCGTCATTCGCGCAGGGGGAATCCAAACAGTCTACCCTCGCACCCCGCGTCTGATCCAGGGCCGCAAAGTACCGGAACTACCGGTCAAATCGCGCCTTAACGCCGGAGCCCTATAATTCGTCATTCCCGCGCAGGCGAATCCAAACCCCCGTCTACCCTCGCACCCGGCACCGAGGGAGGCACTGCCCTCCTGCCACTCGCTGTCGCACGCCGTTCAGATCCCAATTCTTAGTGTGCTGACTAAATAAGACGCGATTGCCCTGTCGACCATATCGGCGTCCCCTCGCGTGCCACCGACGCTCCCGTGTTATCACATCGCCGAAACTGCGGCTGTAGGTGAACGGAATGGTCGCACACCAGCACCATGGCAACGGCGGAACTTACACTCAGCGATCCTGCCTCTATCCGTACCCTGCGCCTGAATGGCTAACGGGCAGCGTGGACGTCTACCGCGATGTCCCGTTGGCATCCTCACGTCGCTCGCCGGTAACAACACGAACTACGCCTGTCTTCGCCCAGGGCTTCGTCACAACCGCCCAAGACCGCCTGTGGCACATGGGTTATCGAAACCACCGCCGATCCGCATTGGCCAGCTGCCGAGCCGTCGGTGATAGCGCGCAGTCGCTCGAGCAGGACAAGAAGCTGATGCGCCGCTTCCCGCTCGTGGCGCAGTGCCAAGGCCGACTAATATGCGGCCATGGACGAGCACACCCTATGGTATTTGACGCCTACTACCCTCCGACGGCGTCAATGCGTCATCGATCGGCGGCGACCGCTGCGCCGCGTACGGATCGCCATCGCGCCGGCATCCTTCCGAAAACCGTGGCAGCAGACCGATGGCATGAGCCTCGTCGTCTACAAGGTCCGTCACATCCTGATGGGCGTCTTCGAGTCCAAGGTGTGCGAGCCCGGATGGTCCTCGCCAGTGGGACCCCGAAAAGGCCGGCAAGCTCTTCCCGACCCGGCTACAGGCCCGCACCTGCTGATCCTGCCTCCCGCAACACGCCGGCGGCATCCTGACAGGGCCGTCAAGGATACTTGCAGAAGGCGCGCAGGAGCCCTGAACTACCGTGGGTGGGCGCTACCTCGCCGAGATGGACAGCGGCAGCAACAGCTGGCCCTGGGGCGACTCCAATCGCGCGTACCGGAAAGCCCCTGTCGCTGAGCGATTCTCACGGGCGCCTCGACAACACACACACTCCCATCGCCTACTACCAGATAACCGGCCCGTAGGATAGGTGGGTAGAGATGCTTTTTTCTTTTGTGGTCTCCTCCTCTCCTGCCCCGAGTTCGACGTAACCGGCCTGTCCTTTCCCGGGGTTCCGGCCTTCCCCCACTTTGGGCACAACTCCTGGGTCTGCTGGTGCGTAACCCACACCGCCGCCGACTACCAGGACCTCTATATCGAGCAACTACGCGACGGCGACGCCCCGCAGTACCTCCACAAGGGAGCGTGGCGTGACGCCGAGATCCACGACGAGACCGTCCGCAGCAACTCCGGTCGAGAGGAGACCGTCCGTGTGGTTGTCACCAACCACGGCCCCATCATCTCCGGCGGCCCTGAAGACGGCTCCGGCATGGCCCTCAAGTACACCGCCACCGAGTCGGCCTCCCAATGGCCAGCCATCTTGTGGAAGATGCTTCGTGCCCGGAACGCCGACGAGCTGGTCGAGTCCCAGCGCGGCTGGGTTGACCCCTGCAACAACTTCGTCTTCGCCGACGTCGACGGAAACTATGGCTACTTCTGCCGCGGACGCATCCCCATCCGCTCCCGCGTCAACGGCTGGCTGCCCGTCCCTGGCTGGACCGGCGAACACGAATGGCACGGCGACATCCCCTTCGGGGAGCTCCCCCGCTCCATCAACCCGCCTGAGGGCTACATCGCCACCGCCAACAACAGGCCCGTCGGCGAGGACTATCCCCACTACATCGCCGTCGATTTCACCCCCGAGTTCCGCGTAAGGGGTGTCACCAAGGGCCTGCAGCCCTTGACCAGTCCCGCCGCACCCGACATGGCAAAGGTGCATGCCTACAGGGTCTCCCAGCCTGCGCTGGCCTACCTTGCCGTCCTGCCCGGCGTGGAACCGGGCAACGCTCTCGCCGCCATCGCGCGCGAACGCCTGTTGGCCTGGGACGGCTCTATGGACGCCAATCTTGTCCAGCCCACCATCTACTCCGCCATGCGCGACGCCCTGCTCAAGGAGATATTCGACCGCAACCTGACCGCCGGGCTGGCTCACGATGCTTGGCATCCGGCCGACCGCGGCCTGGGCTCGTTCGGCAACCGCCTCAAGGCCCGCTTGGTCGAGATGCTACGGAATGACGACCGCTCCCTGCTAGCCGATGGCGACACCTGGCCCGACGCCATATCCCGTGCTCTCACCCGTGCCGTCGCCACCCTCTTCGCCCAACTGGGCGACGACCCCGACGCCTGGGTCTGGGACCGGATTCACCGTGCCGTGCCCCGCCACACCCTCTCCGCCGCGCACCCGGAACTCGACGGCCTGCTGGACCCGCCGCCCATCCCGACCAGCGGCGACGGCGACACCCCGCTGCAGGGCGGCTACTCTCCGGCCACTTTCGCTACCGTGACCAGCCTCTCCGTGGCCCGCTACTCCTACGACACCGCCAACTGGGACAACTCGTTGTGGGTGGTGCCTCTCGGCAGTTCGGGACACCCGGGCAGCCCCCACTACCACGACCAGTCCGAGGCCTGGAGAAAGGTTGAGATGCACCCAATGCGCTGGAACTGGGACAACATCATCGCCAGCAGCGAGACCCACCAGACCCTCCGACCGTAGTTGGAACCTGAACGCAGCCAAAACATAATCAGTTGCCCATGTGCTGGGTTAATCAGCCACGAATGCGGACTCACTGTGGACAATCTGTTGATAAAGAAGCACATACACTAAAATGAAAGACACTAAGCCGCACAAAAAGAACCGGGCCCGCAACATCGCGGGCCCGGCCTCACCTTTCCGACGGTTGATCCCGGCGCTTATTCGGCGCCGTGGATCTGCTGGTTGAGGTAGAGGTCGATGCCGATCGTGCTGATGATCTCCAGCTGCGTCTCCAGCGTGTCGATGTGACCCTCCTCATCGCGGATCATCCCCTCAAGGATGCTGCGGGTGGTGTAGTCGCCCACCGACGCACAGTGGGTGATTGCCTCAGCCAGCGTGTCGACCGCGCCTTTCTCAGCCTCCAGGTTCAGCTCCAGGTCCTCCTTGATCGACTCGCCGACCTGCACCTGGTTCAGCCTCTGCAGGTTGGGCAGCCCCTCGAGGTACAGGATGTGCCGGATCAGGTGCTGGGCATCCTCCATCTCCGACAGGCTGTTGGTTCGGAACAGCTTTCCGACCCCCGGGAAACCCCAGTTGTCCGCCATTTCCGAATGAATGAAATACTGGTTGATGGCCGTAAGCTCAATGGTGAGTATGTTGTTAAGGCGTTCAACGACGCCTTCCTTGGCTTTCATACAGGGACTCCTTGCTATTCAAAAAAATACGCCGCCGGCGCGCTTCACGTCGCCGGCGGCCTTAAAGCTCGCCTATATCCATTATATCATTTCGTAATTTAGTTATGCGGCTTTGATAAACAGCCCCACAAGCTTCAGCTCAACCATCTCGGATATGCGGTCAATGTTGTTCAGGCAGCGCCCGCACGCGTCGCCATCGTCAAATCCCCAAGTTTCCTTCAGCTCGTCCGGGGAACAACCCCGGCGCTTGGCCGACTCGACGGCTTCCGAGAGCCTGACTCCCTTGCACACGCAAACGTACACAGTGCTCGCCTCCGCTCTGGGTGCGCTCATCCGCTTGATGATGAGAAATTTACATTAACCTTCCAATAGTGTCAACCCTTTTTTCCAAAGTTCGTGAAACGAATTATTTTACGAAATACGTAGTGTCTGAACACTGTCGGACGGCCAAGAAAGGGACCGCCGCAGGTATTGCCCGCGGCGGTCCTTGTGCCCGTTGAATCTTGAGCGGTACGACGAGGTCTACTGCACCAGGTTCGGCGTGACCTCGGCCGGAACCCCCCCGGCCTCCATCTCCCGGGCGCGGGCCTCGACCGCCGGCAGCACCGAGGCGATCAGGTCTTCGTCCAGGTCGGCGGCAACACCGGGGTACCCGGCCCGCTCCAGCATCGCTCCCAGCTTCTTGCTCTTGAACTGGTCCAGGCACCAGCCCAGCGGGTCCGGCACCAGTGTCTTGTCCCAGTAGATCCGGTGGTTCTTGTTGCGGGGCCCATAGTGGTAGTGCGGGCCGTCCCAGAAACAGTCAAAGGCCAGCAGCTCCGTCTCCTCGGTGAACACCCGGCCCGTGTTGCCAGCCAGGTCCGCCAGGAGGTGGATGGCCACTCCGCCGTCGCCCGACCCCAGTTTGCGGTTCTCCAACCCGAACTTGATGTTGCCCGCTTCGAACACATCGGTGCCTCGGTTGTGCTTTACGGTGTTGCGCTCGGCCGCAAACTTGTAGCGGGCCGCTTCTTCAACCTCGTTCAGCGCCTTGTCGACGGCTCCCAGGTTAACCGCACCGGCGGCCTCTGGGTATCCCGCCTCCGTCAGCATGGTCCCTATGTTGGTGCGCAGCGTTTTCACCGTCCAGCCGATGGGGTTGCCGTCTACCGTCTCGTCCATGCGGAACTTGACGTCCTTGCCACTGGGTCCGTAGACGTAGCTCTTCTCTCGGTCGAAGCAGTTGAACCGCAGCGCGGTCTCACCTACGACCTCCGCCAGGATGGCCACGCCTTGGTCTGAGTGGTCCTGAATGTTGCCGTCCCAAAGCTCGTGCTGGACAACGAATGTCACGTTGCCAGCCTCAACTCGAACTCGCCCTGTCTGCATCATATCGTCTAGTCTCCTCAATAATTAAGTGATGGTTTGTGTGTTTGTAGGTGGAATATAGCCATCGGCGAAGCGGGGTGTCAACCGATTCGCAACAGGGACTGCGGCCATTATGCGCTTGTAGCGTTGAGTTGGGGCAATCATCCCAGCACTTCCCGCCCCAGCACCATCCCTCCGCCCAGGATAACCAGCGTCAATACCGCGATCCGGAACACCCGTTCATTTAGCCGCCCCACCAGGAGGTTCGCGATCCCGAACCCGATGAGCAGGCCCGGCAGCAGCAGCCCTGCGTTGATCAGGGTTTCCCGCGTGTAGAGGCCGGTGGAGGCGAAGAGTACCACGGCCAGCAGGCTCGACATGCCGAACATCGCTGCCAGGGCAGCCCGCACCGTCGGGGTGGGCCAGTGCTGTGCCACCGCATAGACTCCTCCCAGCGGCCCCCCGATGCTGATGGCGGTGGTTGTCAGGCAGGTGACGAAGCCATACAGGATGCCCGACCCCGGGAAGGTGGCGACGGGTAACCGCAGGTCGAGCAGGTTAAGCAGGCCCAGCGCCACGATGACCACCCCGATGACGATTCGCAGGACTCCCGGGTCCGTGATGTTGAGCACGAATACGCCGAGGGGAGCGGCGGCAAGTCCTCCCATGATCATCCACTTGGTTACCGATAGGTCAATATGCCTCCAGGTCCGCGAGAGCACCAGGGACAACTGGATTACAATGAAGGTGTTGATGATCACCACCGTGGGCTTGGCGCCAATCAGGAGCAGCAGCACCGGGGACGCCACCGACCCCAGGCCGAAGCTCACAGTACCAAGTACGACGCCACCCACGGTTACGGCAACAATGGCGACTGCCAGTTCAACACCGGATAGCATCGATCAAGCTGTCTCCGCCGCCACTTCGTCTGTCAATGGACAAGTCTCCGCGCCTCGGTCGGCTTTGGTCGCGGCCCACTATATCACGGTGCCAACTCCCCAATTTCAGGACGTTTCCGAGGCCTGTTAACGTCCCAATCTACGAGGATTGCCTGCCCGTGATCCACTGTTGCCGCGAGTCAAATCCCGGTGGAGTATTCCCCAGCATAGGAATAGAACAGGTCCCGCAATCCAGTACTCCGGAATGTCCCCATCAACGACTCCTCTCCCCACCTTACCCTCTCTTTCGATTGCTGACAGAAGCCCCTTGCCAAGCCTCATGGCATCCCCCTACTATTGAATTCAGCGGACTCGAAGGCCCGCCGTCCAACACGCGACCGTCGCGATAAGTGCAACCAGTGCAACCAGTGCAACCATGGACGACTCCCCCGGCCCTGACCCCGGCACGTTTCACCCCGGCGCAAACCCTCCACTCGACCTGATCGGGGGCGGGCCAAACCCCGGATAGATTCCTAAATTGCGCAGAAATGCACTCATTTCCCCCTTTGTGGCCCTAACCCGAGCTCCGGCACTCCTCATGCGCCCCGGCGGGAACCGGTTTGCCGCCATGCCTGCACTCTCCAAAATTGGGGAGCCGGGGCCGTGCCACACTAACGTCCAGGGGCGCTGCCCGAAGGCCGGGCGGATGGCTCAACCACCTTAAGCAAAACGCCATCCCGAAGCCCCTGCAGTTCGACAAGCGTCGGCCCAAACCTTATAGTGGGAAGGACGGCGTCATTACATCGGGGTCAGCGGGAGAAGGTGGCGTTATGCCGGCCAGCCAGACTACCAACGAAGAGATCGCCGAACTGTTCGAACATCTCGGCATGATGCTGGAGATGAAGGGCGATTCTGCATTCAAGATTCGCGCCTACCAGCGTGCCGCACGCACCATCGAAGAGTTGTCATTCCCCTTGGACCAGGCCGTCGCCGACGGACAGAAGCTCACCGGCATCCCCGGCATCGGCAAGGCCATCAGCGAAAAGATTCACGAGCTTGTCACCACCGGCCAGGTCCAGACCTTCGAGCGCGTCAAGTCCGAGCTGCCCGAGGGTGCCCTCAACCTGCTGGCAATACCCGGCATCGGCCCCAAGACCGCCGTGCTCATCGGCACCGAGCTGGGCATCAGCACAATCGAGGGGGTGGAGCAGGCCGCGCAGGACGGCCGCCTAGCCTCTCTGCCTCGCATGGGCAAAAGGGCCGCCGACAGCATTCTCCGCCACATCCGCGCCTCCCGTTCCATTAGCAGCGACCGCACGCCCATTGGCCAGGCCTTGTCCATTGCGGAGGCTGCCATGGCTGGCCTCCGCGAGCGCGATGCGGAGATCTCCATCCTGACCCCCGCCGGCAGCCTCCGTCGCTGGGAGGAGACCATAGGTGACGTCGACCTGGTAGCCATCACCCCGCAGCCCGAAGAGCTGGGTCGCTGCCTGGCCGAGCTGCCCCAGGTCCGCGAGGTACTGGTCAACGGTCCCCGAAAGACCAGCGTAATCGTCGACCCGGGACTGCAGATCGATCTGCGGACCGGCGAGGCCGAGTCAATCGGTGCCATGCTCCAGTATTTCACTGGCAGCCAGCAGCACAACATCCGTCTGCGTGACTTTGCCAACCGAATGGGTCTCTCCCTCAATGAGTACGGCATCACCAATGTCGAGTCAGGGCAGGTGGAGGTTTTTCCCGACGAAGAGTCCTTCTACGCCCGGTTGGGCCTGCCGCTGATTCCACCAGAACTGCGTGCCGGCATGTGGGAGCTTGAAGCGGCCATCGAGGGCCGACTTCCCCAGCTCGTCGAGCCCCTGCACCTCCGCGGTGATCTCCACCTGCATAGCGACTGGAGCGACGGCAGCGACCCCATCGAGACCATGGTCGCGACTGTTGCTTCCATGGGCTACGAGTACATGGCCCTAACCGACCACTCCCAGGGCCTGGGCGTCGCCAACGGTCTCACCCCCGACCGGCTGGCGGCCCAACGCGAGGTCCTCCGCCAGTTGCAGGAGCGCTACGACATCCGCATCCTCGCCGGCTCTGAGGTCGACATTCGCTCCGATGGCCGAATGGACTTCCCCGACGAGGTGCTGGCCGAGTTGGACGTGGTCGTGGCATCCGTGCACAACGCCATGTCCCAGGATCGCGAGACCATGACTCGTCGCGTCATCCGAGCCATGGAACATCCGTCGGTTACCATCATCGGCCATCTCTCCACCCGGCTGCTGGGCCAGCGCCCCCCCACGGATTTCGACCTGGAGGCGGTGCTGCAGGCCGCCCGGGACACTGGAACAGCGCTGGAAATTAACGCCTCTCCCGAACGGCTGGATCTGAAGGACACTCACGCTTACCGTGCTCGTGAGCTCGGCATCCCGCTGGTCATCAGCACCGACTCCCATCATCATTCCCACCTGTCCGGCGGACGGTTCGGCGTGGCTGTGGCTCGCCGAGCCTGGTGCGAGCCACAGCACATCCTCAACACCATGCCGCTGGACCATTTCCGCCGATTCATCACAACTCCCAAACCGCAGCGCATCAAGGTGTTCGACGACGTAGTGGCCACCGCCGCGCCGTCAGTCCCCAACGGTCATGCCTCTTCACAGGCCGGAGCCTGATGCCCCGCACTAAGACAGCCGCGTCCGCTGGAACCGTCCGCAACGCCGAGGCCAATGAGTTCCACTTGCCTACAACAGGGGCAGCGGACCCTGAGGGAACGTCTGAAGAGCCCGAGGGACTGTCTCCCGAGTACGTCATACTGCGTTTTCGCGTCCAGCTGGCAGAGGGGATGCAGTGGCACAGGGCGCTGCTGGAAGCCATGGGCCGGTGGATCCCCGCCGAGGAATGGCACGGCGACCGGCGATATAAGTACATGGTCGGCGGCGAGGCCTTCGACTGGCTCCTCTTGGCGGAGCGGCTTTGTGGCGAGGTCAGCGAGTTCATCCCCCAGCGGGAACTCGAACATCTCCTCTTTCATGGATTCTTCCCCGAGCCCATGATCGATGAGGAGTTTCGCGACCTGCTCGGAGTCAGCAAATACCGCGCCTACCTGAACTTCCACTACGGCGTCGTGCTGGAAGAAGCACTGCAACTGGCTGCCGAGGAATATGCCCGCAAGCGCCACCTCTCCCTGGGGTATTCCGACAGCGAGGAACTGATGGAGGAGGCATTTCGCCACCTGTACACCCAGACTCGCACCGACCTGCTCGCCGAGTTTCGCGCTGAGGCTCGTCTGGGCAACCGACGGGGTATGAACCTGTCAGACCTCAAGGAATTCACTTACTGGCTCCACAAGCGCCGCGTCAACTACTGGGACCCCGCCCGCGTTGCCTACGACACTCGTCTCGCCATTCTGCGCCTCGCAGCCCTCCGCGAAAGTGCCTACACCGCAACCTCGGCCGAATAGACTCTCTGTGCGCGCCGGTGGTATATTTCCTCAAAAGCCGATGGCGGTTTTCGAAAGCCGCTTGGCCCTTTCCCTTATCGGGCTGAAAGGATGTTACGGTTCTTTACCCATTCCACGCCGGGACCTCCGGCAGCGGAGCTAGTGTTCGCCAATGACTTCCGCCCACACTCCAGGGGCCGCTGGCCAGATGCCAAGGGCCTACAACGCCGCCGATGTCGAGCGGCGCATCTACCAGCACTGGCTCGACAAGGACTACTTCCACGCCGTTCCGCAGAAAGGCCGCCAGCCCTACGTCATCATCATGCCCCCGCCCAACGTGACCGGTGAGTTGCACCTTGGCCACGCGCTGGAAAAGGCGCTGGAAGACGCACTCATTCGCTACCGCCGCATGACCGGCGTACCGACCCTGTGGCTCCCCGGCACCGACCACGCAGGCATTGCCACTCAGTGGGTCGTCGAACGTCAGCTCATCGATGAAGGCACAAACCGTCACGACATCGGGCGCGAGGCCTTCGTCGAACGCGTCTGGGAGCACGTCGAAAGATCCGGCGGCATCATCCACGAGCAGTCGCGCCGGCTCGGTATCTCCGCTGACTGGGAACGCCACAAATTCACCCTGGACTCCGGACCCAGCAACGCGGTCCGCACCACCTTCGTCAGCCTGTACGATAAGGGCCTGATCTACCGCCACGAGCGGATTATCAACCGCTGCGTCCGTTGCGCCACCGCCCTATCCGACTTGGAGGTGGACTACCAGGACGTTGACGGGCACCTCTATCACATCCGCTACCCGTTGGAGGATGAACCCGAAAAGTACGTCACTGTAGCGACCACTCGCCCCGAGACCATGCTCGGCGACACCGGCGTCGCGGTGCATCCCGACGACCCCCGCTATGACGGCATCAGGGGACGGAACGTCGTCCTCCCAATCATGGGACGCGTGATCCCCGGTGGTAGGCGACGAGGCCATCGACCCCGCGTTCGGAACCGGCGCCCTGAAGGTCACTCCCGCCCACGACCCGGTGGACTTCGAGGTCGGCCAACGCCACCGCCTCGACGCCCCCAATGTCATCGGCGAAGATGGCAATATGACCTCCGTGACCGGCAAGTACGCAGGCGTGGAGCGCTTTGAGGCCCGCCGTCGCGTTGTCGAAGAATTGGATTCACTGGGCGTGCTCGAAAAGGTCGAACCGCACAGCCACTCCGTCGGCCACTGCCAGCGCTGCGCCACCGTCGTTGAGCCGCTCATAAGCATGCAGTGGTTCGTCAACATCGGCAGCCACGAACAGCCCGACAGCATCGCCGGCAAGGCCTACCGCGCCGTGACCGAGGGCGAAATCCGAATCGTCCCAGAGCGATTCACCCGCGTCTACCTGAACTGGCTCGAGAACATCCGCGACTGGTGCATCAGCCGCCAGCTCTGGTGGGGACACCGCATCCCCGTCTGGTACTGCGGACCTTGCGGCCACATGACCGTCGCCATGGACGACCCGGACGCATGCGAGTCCTGCGGCTCGACCGACATCCTCCAGGACCCCGACGTCCTCGACACCTGGTTCAGTTCCGGTCTCTGGCCTCACTCCACCCTCGGCTGGCCCCCGGACCTGTCGGACAAGGGAAAATCCGACGACTTCGACTATTTCTATCCCACGACGGTGTTGGAAACGGGGTACGACATCCTGTTTTTCTGGGTCGCCCGCATGATCATGCTGGGCATCGAGAACACCGGCAGGCCGCCCTTCAACACCGTCTATCTGCACGGCCTCATCCGAGACGGCTCCGGCGCCAAGATGAGCAAGACCCGTGGCAACACCATGGATCCGCTGGACCTGCTGGATAAGTACGGCACCGACGCTCTGCGATTCGCTCTCACCACCGGTACCGCGCCGGGTAATGACCTGCGTTTCACCGGGAACCGCTTGGAAGCAGGGCGCAACTATGCAAACAAGATTTGGAACGCCTCCCGTTACGTCATCAGTCAGCTCGAGGGAAAGCGTGGCCTCGAAGGGTGGAGCAACGTCGTCCCCGAACACCGCGAGGACCGTTGGATCGTTAGCCGCCTGGACCGCATGACCACCGACGTCAACCGCGCCCTGGAAAACTTTGAACTCGGTGACGCACAGCAGCGTCTCCACGAGTTCATCTGGAACGACTACTGCGACTGGTACATCGAGATGGCCAAGATTCGTCTCCGAAACAACAACGACCCGTCGCCGCTGCCCACGCTAGCCCACGTGCTCGAGCGCATCCTGCGCCTTCTGCACCCCTTCATGCCCTTCATTAGCGAAGAGATCTGGCAGACCCTGAAGTCCGAACTGCCCCAGGAAAAGCTCTCTGGTAATGGTGAGCTTGTCGAACCACCGGACTCGATCATGATCGCCCCTTATCCCGCGTCGGGGGAACGGATCGACCAGGCGGCAGAGGAGGAGATCGCGCTGGTGCAACAGGCGGTGCGCGCCGTTCGCAATACCCGGGCCCATCTCCGCATCCCCGCCGCTCAGCACCTCGAGGCCCTCGTCGAAGCCAACGGCCAGCGAGAGGCTATTGAGGACGAGGCCGACGTCATCCGTACCATGTCCCGTATCGAGCCGCTACGCATCGTCTCTGGTCCAGCGGAAAGTGGCCCAGGGGTCCGCGGTGTAACCCTCGTCGTCAGTCCACTGGTGGTGCGCCTCCCGCTTGAGGGCGTTGTCGATCTGGAAGCCGAGGGCGAACGCCTGCGAGCCGAACTGGTCGACTGCGACCGCAACCTGGACCGGGTCGAGAAGCTGGTCTCCAACCCGAACTTCAGGGAGAAGGCCCGTCCCGACGTGGTTGAAAACGAGGAGGCCCGCCTCGCCGACCTGCGTGATCGCAAGCAGCGCCTCGACGAAATTCTGCAACAGTTGGGGCGGTAGAACTCTCGACCCGCCTGTTGGAGTTGAGCAAAGCAATGCCGCAGCGCCTGGGCATCATAGGCCACCCTATCGGCCACTCAATCTCGCCGGTGTTCCAGCAGGCCGCGCTGGATGCCATCGGCTTTGACGGTACCTACCAGCCCTGGGATGTCGCCCCCGATGAGGTGGGTGAGTTTGTCGCCGGTCTGCGGGCCCCCGGCACTCTGGGTATCAACGTGACCGTGCCCCACAAGGAAGCGGTGATCCCGTTCCTCGACGAGGTAGACGACTGGGCCTCCACTGCCGGCGCGGTCAACACCATCGTCAACCGCGATGGCCGACTTACCGGCTACAACACCGACGGCATCGGCTTCCTCCGCGCCCTGCGCGAAGGCGCCGACTTCGAACCACGGGGTCGCGACGTTTTGGTGCTGGGCGCCGGTGGTTCAGCCCGCGGGGTCGTATACGCCCTGGCCCGTGTGGGAGTTGCCCAGATGTTCATCGCCAACCGCACCCTGGAACGGGCGGAGGGGCTGGCAGCTCTCTCCGTAGATAGCGGTGCCGCCGCTGAGGCATTGTCCCTGTCAGATGCCCCCGGAGCCGCAAGAGAGGTGGCCCTCATCGTCAATTGCACCTCTATGGGCATGGTCCATGGCCCGGACGAAGACGGAACGCCCCTTTCTGCCGCCGATATTCCGTCCAACGCCCTGGTCAATGACCTGGTGTATAATCCGCTCGAAACGCCGCTGCTCCGCGAGGCCGCCAAATCCGGCGCCGCCACTCTGGGCGGCATCCAGATGCTGGTCTACCAGGGCGCGGCATCCTTCGAGATGTGGACGGAACAGGACGCTCCCGTCGCTGTCATGCTGGAAGCTGCCACTGCCGCCATGCGTGCACGAGGTTAGGCAATCTCCGCAGCGGATAACTTGGCGAAAACCCCCTCCGTTTGGGAGAGGGGTTTTTTGAGTAACGAATAAATACGAGATGACTGGAATAGTATGGTCCGTTTTGTAACTGCCGGGGAGTCCCACGGCCAAGGCTTGCTCATAATTGTCGAAAATGTGCCCGCCGGATTGCCTATTGACGAAGACTATATCGGCGTCCACCTGGCCCGCCGACAGAAGGGCTACGGGCGCGGCGGTCGGATGCTCATCGAGCAGGACTGGGCGCACATCATCTCCGGCGTGCGCCACGGGACGACGCTGGGCAGCCCCATCGGTATGCGCATCGAAAACCGGGACTGGGCCAACTGGGAAGAGGCCATGTCGGTGCGCCCCATCGAGGGCGAGCCCCAGAGCCCCCGCAGCCAGCGCGTCACCCGCCTGCGCCCCGGCCACGCCGACCTGCCCGGCGCCATGAAGTACGGGTTCAACGATGTGCGCAACGTGCTGGAGCGATCCAGCGCCCGCGAGACAGCCGCCCGCGTCGCTGCCGGCGCCGTGGCCCTCCGCCTGCTGGAGGAGTTCGGCATTGCTGTCCGCAGTCACGTCTTGTCCATTGGCAGCATACGTGCTGAACCCGCCGCCGAGATCGACTGGCAGGCCGTGGAGGACTCTCCGGTTCGCTGCGCCGACTCCGAGGCCGCTGAGCGTATGACCGCCGAGATCGACGCCACCAAGGACGCCGGTGACACAGTGGGAGGCATCGTGGAGATCATCGCCGAGAACGTCCCTATCGGCCTTGGCTCCCACGTGTCCTGGGACCGCAAGATTGATGGCCGTGTGACCCAGGCGCTCATGTCCATCAACGCCGTAAAGGCGGTGTCCATCGGCCCCGGCTGGGACATCGTCCACAAGCGCGGCTCAGAGGTCCAGGATGTAATCGAGCCGGTAACCGACCCAGACCGACCCTGGCAGCGACGCACCAACAACCTCGGCGGCACCGAGGGCGGAATGACCAACGGGATGCCGCTGACCGCCCAGTTCGCCATCAAGCCTATCGCCACCCTGATGCACCCGCTACCCTCTGTGGACCTCGACACTGGCGAAGAGGTACTGGCCCACTACGAGCGCTCCGACATCTGCCAGGCTCCGCCGGCCTGCGTCGTCGGCGAGGCCATGGTGGCACTTGTGCTGGCCGAGGCCTTTATGGAAAAGTTCGGCGGGGACTCTGTCTCCGAAACCCGCCGCAACTTCGAGGGCTACATCAAGACCGTCGGCCCCGTCTGGTCTACCAGTAGCCAACTCCTGTCTCGCGACACCCAGTCCCCAACTCCTCCTCAGGGGGAGGGCGGCGCCATCGAGAATCGCCGCACGTCCCCGGACAATTCCATGTTGGCATTTGCGAGTCGTGTATGAAATTCGGCGTCACAATGTTCCCCAACAATCTCGAGGATGTGTCCAGCGGGGCTCGCCTGGCAGAGGAAATGGGATTCGACTACGTGGGAATTGCCGATTCCCAGTCGTTGGCCCGCGAGCTGTATGTAACTCTCGGGGTCGTGGCCGCGGCGACCGAACGTGTCATGCTCGGGCCAACGGTCAGCAATCCCCTGACCCGCCACCCGGCGGTCGCCGCCTCTGCCATAGCGTCTATCAACGAGTTGTCCAGGGGCCGGGCATTCCTCGGCCTGGGCAGCGGCGACAGTGCTGTGCTTAACTTGGGACTGCGTCCGGCGCGTCTGGCCGAACTGCACCACTACATCCAGAGCGTCCGCGAGATGCTGGCGGGAGAAACCAGCGAATTCCGCGGCGACCGGACCCACGTTCGCTGGTCCAACACCACGATTCCCGTAGCAATGTCCGCCGAGGGTCCGCGCACGCTGGCCATGGCGGGATCCATAGCCGATGCCGCTATCATCCACACGGGCCTTACCCCCGAGGTGCTGCATGATACAGTTGCCCGCATCCGCGAGGGTGAACGCTCTGCCGGCCGGGCACCTGGGGCAACCGGCGTATGGGCCTTCGCCAAGTGCAACATCGCAGACGACCGCGACGAGGCCGTTGGGGGAATCAAGATGGCCCTGGCCGCCTCAGGCCATCACGCCTTTCGGTTCACCCTGGAGGGCAAAAACGTGCCGGAGGAATACCGCGAGGCCGTGTCCATCCTGCACCACGAATACGAGGCCGCCGAGCACGAGCAGGTAGGCCAGACCCGCAATGCGGTACTAACCGACGAGCTGGGTCTTACCGACTACTTCGCCGACCGGTTCGCCGTCGTCGGCACTCCCGGGGAGTGCCGCGAGAAGGCCCGGGCCATCTTTGACGCTGGAATTGACGTGCTCCTGATAACCGCCATAGGCCCCTCCCCCGAGACCATCATCCGCCGCTTCGGCGAAGAGGTCATCGCCCCGCTCCGGAATTTGTAACCACCTGAACAACCATGTACTGCCATAGGAGGCACTGGCTGTCTCCTCCAGGACGGGGATGCTTACATAATATTTTCCCCTTAACCCAGCGAAATTATCGCAATGTCAAAAATCCCGATTGGATTGCCGCGGTGTGCTATCATTTCCGCGCGTAAACAGGAGGGATCAGGGATCCAGCTTTGCGCAGCTTTGTGGCCGTGCCAACACATTACGTGCGAGATCGAGTTATTCGTGGACAAGGGACTCTTCATAGTATTTGAAGGGGGTGAGGGCTCCGGCAAGAGCACCCAGGCCGAGTGCCTCCTGCAGCGGCTCTTGGACGCGGGGCATCAGGCCGTGCTGGTCAGAGAGCCCGGCACCACCACCCTCGGCCTGTACCTGCGCGAATACCTAAAGAGCAAACGCCCTCTGACCCTTGAATCGGAACTGCTTCTGTTCGCGGCAGCGAGAGCCCAATTGGTGGCCGAGGAGATCCGGCCCACCCTTGAGCGAGGAATCAACGTCGTCGCCGACCGCTACACCGGCTCCACTGTCGCCTACCAGGGTTCGGGCGAGGGATCCGTCGCGATGTGATCGATTACCTGAACGACTATGTAACCGGCGGTCTGAACCCCGACATCACCTTCCTGCTGGACACCGAACCCACCGAGGGCCTGGAACGCGTGGGCTCCCCCCAGCTCCAGATGGCCCTGATGCCCGAGGACACCGCCGAGGTGGGTCGGGCCGATGTTGCCGGCCACCGTCGATTTGAGGACCAGTCCGTGGGCTTCCACAACCGCGTGCGTCGAGGCTACCTGGAGTTGGCCAAGAGCGCCAAGGGCTGGCAGACTGTCGATGCCCGCCAGTCGATAGACGAGTTGTCGAGCCAGATCTGGGATGGGGTTTCGCACCTGTTGTCTGGAATGGTATTCGATCCAGCGCCAACAACCGCTACCGCTCTCATGCCTTCCCAAGAATGAAAATAGAATAGAAGCCCCTCCTGTTTCAGGAGGGGCTTCCATTCAGGTATCGCCCTTGATTGTCAGGGCATCCGGTAGCGCCCTTTAGTCGTCGGCAGCTACCAAGTCGGCCTGCTCGATCTTCTCGCGGACATGTGCCAGCATCTTGCGGACGCGACCCAAGTCGGGGAAGATGTTTCCTTCGCCCTTCTTGTCAAAGATGCGCTCACCGTCCACAAACACTTCCATGATGCTCTGGCCGCGGGGAGAAATGGCCACCGCTGCGTCGGGTCCGAAATGCCGGAAAAACTCGTTTGCCATCCACGTGGCAGTTCCTAGATGCTGTCAACTGACGCAGTAGGTAATCTCGATCTGGACTTTGCCTTCCATCGGTTTCCTCCGAGGGATTCAGGATATTGTTAGTTTAGCGTTACGGAGCACTGCGCGCAAGTGAAAAATTGCACTATCGAAGGCAGCTTGGCAAAGGCGCTGTTTTTCCCTGCTAACACTAGCCTGATTATACCGAGGCTGTTTACACTCGGTAGAACATTACCGCCCGCTCCGGTTCGCGACCCTGGCTTACCGAGGCGACGTTGTATCGCTGGCCCAGCATATGCTGCAGCCGGCGGATGTGGGAGCGCTGGGGTGCCAGCTTGACCGTGTTCTCACCGCCTAATACGCGATTGGCCGCCTCTTCCGCCTCCACCATGGCCCGCTCTATGTTGGGGCCCTGGGGGCCGGTCCTCTGCCTCCGTTGCGGTCCGGCCCCCGTTGCGGTTCCACTGTCCCACAACGGTGCGCAGGAAGTCCTGCAGCTGGGGCAGAGAGTTCTTTCGCAGAACGAACACCGGCTTGCCATTGGCCTCCGCGATCCGTACGAGTTGGGATCCCCGCCGGTAGTGAGTCTTGGTGGTGAGCACCACGTCGGCGCGGCGCAGTTCATTGACGATCTGGGCTGGCACGCCTGACTCCACCATGGCGGCTTCCAGCTTGTCCCTCCCCACGCCGAACAGGAAAACATGCACTTCAGACACCATTGCGGCCTCTTCCGCGGACATTTCGCCCATAGGACTCGGCAGGCGAGGAGTCGCCGCGCTCCGGGTTTCCTCTCGGTTGTAGTCCCGGTTAAAGTCCCGATTGTGGTCCCTGCTGCGGCGTTCGGTTCCCGGCTCGCGGCCGTTTCGGCGGCCCTCCGGTTTCCAGGGTGCGGGAGCGTCCTCATTGGTCCGGTACTCTTCTTCCGCCCGCTGTAACTCTCCATTTTCGTCGATCCAGCGGATTTCAGGCACTATCGGGTAGCCACGAAGCCACTGGTCAACCACGTGGGCTACATCGCTGTGCACCGCCAGACGTTCCCAGCTCTGTATCTCCACCACTACGTCAAAGGTCGGTGGAGCCTTCCGTTCCAGCACCGTCTTCTGAGTGCCGCGGTACCGGGCCTCCTGGTCGCCAAGGGTTACCGTCTGAATTCCTCCCACTAGGTCCGAAAGGGTGGGGTTCATGATAAGGTTGTCCAAGGTGTTCCCGTGGGCCGTGGCGATCAGCTGTACTCCCCGTTCCGCGATGGTGCGCGCGGCGGCCGCCTCTTGCTCTGCTCCCATCTCGTCAATGACGACAGCCTCCGGCATGTGGTTCTCCACCGCCTCGATCATCACGCCATGCTGCTGTAGCGGAGTTGCGACCTGCATCCGCCGGGCCCGCCCGATGGCTGGATGGGGAACGTCTCCGTCGCCCGCGATTTCGTTCGACGTATCGACGATGACCACCCGCTTGTTCGCTGACACTGAGAGGACCCGGGCCATTTCCCGGAGCATCGTGGTCTTGCCCACGCCTGGTCTTCCCAGCAGGAGGATATTTTTGCCCGAGAGCGCCAGATCCTCGATCATCTTGATGGTCCCGAACACGGCCCTTCCGATGCGACACGTCAGTCCAACCACCCGTCCGCGCCGGTTGCGGATGGCCGATATTCGGTGCAGGGTGCGCTCGATGCCGGCCCGGTTGTCGTCACCAAACTCGCCCAGTCGTTCGATGACGCTCTGTAGATCGTCGGTGCTCACCTCTTCGGAACTTAGGGGTGCATCGCCGCTGACGAACCTCGCCTCTGGCTCCCGTCCCAGATCCAGCACCACCTCCAACAGCTCTGACAGATCCTCTCGCCGCCGCAGGGCATAGGATACCCTGCCCGGCAACACCTCCAGTAGCAACTCCAGTTCATCCCGCACTGCGTCTTGCACCGTCGCCAATATCATTCCTCCACCCAGGATGATTTGGGTCCGTTACGGATACCGCCAACGCCAATTGCCGCCGATCCGCTATGGAACGGCAACTGAAGAATTCATTCCGCCATACTGCAGAAATACTGATGCACCCGCGTATCGCGGGTGAGTTCGGGGTGAAAAGCCGTCGCCAAGAGGTTGCCTTGCTGTACAGCCACCGGGCGCCCCGTCATCGAGGCTGGCCAGCACTTCCACCGACGATCCGACGCGGAAAACCACGGGCGCGCGAATAAATATGCAGTGGTATGGCTCCGGGGAGAGGGGGGTGATCTGAAGCTCCTGTTCGAAGCTGTCGACCTGTCGACCAAAAGCGTTGCGCTGAACACCGATGTCCATGAGCCCCAAGGGAACAGGGTCCTGTTCGGTGATCTCGTTCGCCAGCATAATCATGCCAGCGCAGGTACCCCAAACCGGGCGGCCATCGGCAACCATGCCGGCCACCGACTGCCGCAGGTCGTATATCGTCATCAGGCGGCTCAGGGTGGTGCTCTCTCCGCCGGGAATAATCAATCCGTCCAGAGCCTCGAGATGCTCCGGCAACCTGACCTCCCGAGCCTCCACGTCAATGCTCCGCAGGATCGCAATGTGCTCGGCGAAGTCGCCCTGTACCGCTAATACGCCTATTTTCAATTCTGTGTGCCGGTAGCCCCGCTATCCTTGAAATATAGACCCGAGATTCAGGCCCTGTCTTGCGCCTAAGTGGCCCTAGCTCAAAGAGGTTCGGTGGCCAACTGCTCTTCAGACAGATCAACCATCAGGTTGAAAGTCTGCAATGTGGTGGCCCCAAAAAGGAATTGGTGTTCGGCTTCACAAATAACTGGGCAGGGGAATTAACGTCCCTTGATGCCGTAAAGCGCTATCCCGGAGCCCTGCTCAACTTCGCTCCCGTCCGCTATGGTGAAAGGCCTGTACTCCAAGGTAGATATGCCATGTTGCGCCAAGAACGAATCTGCCCCGGCTGAATGAGCTCCACTGTTGTCTACCTAAAGTTGTATTCGGAGTGAGTTAAGTGACACTATCCTGCGCACGGCCACGGGTGACCTTAGACAAGCCCATTCGTGCCGGTGCCATCAGAAAGCATTAAACGCTCCGCGTTGCCAGCAATTCGCCCTCAGGAATATCCCGGACGTTGCGCCCGACCATCGGCTCGCCCAAGTCCTTTGACACCTCGGCCAGGATCTTTGGGTCGTTGTAGTGGGTAACAGCCTGCACGATGGCATAGGCCCGACTCGCCGGGTCTCCAGACTTGAATATGCCAGAACCTACGAACACGCCGTCAGCACCCAGCTGCATCATCAGCGCCGCGTCGGCGGGGGTAGCCACGCCGCCGGCAGCAAAGTTAACCACCGGCAACCGGCCCTGCTCGCGGGTCTCCTGCAACAGATCCAGCGACACCCGCAGATCCCTGGCCTCGACCACCAGTTCGTCGTCGGGCATGGTCTGGAGCTTGCGGATGTTGTCCTGCACCGCCCTCATATGCCGCACCGCCTCTACCACGTCGCCCGTGCCGGCCTCGCCCTTTGTTCGGATCATCGCTGCCCCTTCGGAAATGCGGCGCAGTGCCTCGCCCAAGTCCCGGCAGCCGCAAACAAAGGGCACTTTGAACTCGTGCTTCCAAATATGGTGAGTTTCGTCGGCCGGGGTCAGCACTTCCGACTCGTCGATGTAGTCGACGCCGAGGGCCTCGAGGATCTGCGCTTCGACGAAATGACCGATCCGCACCTTCGCCATAACCGGAATGCTCACCGCATCCATGATCCGCGTGATAATGGACGGGTCGGTCATCCGGGCCACTCCCCCGTCCGCGCGAATGTCTGCCGGCACGCGCTCCAAGGCCATGACAGCCACGGCCCCTGCCTCTGCGGCGATTTCCGCCTGCTCAGGCGTAACTACGTCCATGATGACGCCGCCCTTCAGCATCTGGGCATGCCCAGCCTTGACGGTAAAAGTGCCGGTTAATATGTCTGCAATTGCCATTCCTGCCATCCTTCAGCCGGGCTAGACCGCGTATGCACGCTGTCTTTCACCGGGTAGAATTTTCATTTATCCGTGCTCTTCAGCCCGGGCATTCAGACCCGACATACCTATTCCGGGAACAGGGTCATTATACGGGGCGCTATCTTTGTTATCAATTACGTTGGCATAGACTCCGCCAGTAGTTAGAACATGGAAAAGCTGACGCAAAAAGAGGCCACAATCAAAGGCCTCTCAGTGTCGGCTCGGGACGCAACCGCTGCGATTTGGAAGTCCTACGTCCGGACGGCCTCGCCTGCTCCCAATGACTGCACCATGCGGTCCATGAAGGCCGCCAAATGGAGAGTGCCGGCTATGGCCGTCTGGTAGCTCATCCGCGTTGGCCCCACGACACAAATCGCGCCTCCGACGCCTCCCGGTCGCCCGTAGTGGCACACAATAACGCCGAAAGGGCGAAGAGACTCATCTCGGTTCTCCGCCCCGATGGTTACTCTGGGGCCGGACTCCCGCTCTGTCGCCACGATTCGCTCCACCATAACCCGCCTTTCCATCATCTGGACGAGCAAGCGGGCGCGTTCCCCCGCAGCGAATTCAGGCTGATTCAGCAACCGACTGAGCCCCTCGACATGGTGCTCCGGCAGGTCCGCCTGTTCCGACTCCTGCATCATCTCCAACGAGTCGTTCAGCACTCTCTGCTCCAAGTTGCTTAGGCAGAGTTGTAGTGACTTGATCTGTCGATGGTTCAGGCCAGCTAGGGAACTGTTCAGGTGTTCGGCGACCACGTCCAGCTGTTGTTGGCTGACTGAATCGTCCAGCGGCAAAAGCCGCTTAAGCAATCGCGTCTCGCCCAGAACGATCACCAGCAGCGCGATGGACTCTTGGAGGAAGACCAACTGCAGCCGTTTCAGGCGAGGCGATGTTGAGCGTGGCTCCGTTACGATAGCGAGGTTGGCTGTCATCTGCGACAGGGCTGCCGCACACCGTCGGGCCCATACGGCAGCATCGGGCTCCGCGTCGTCCAGCCACCTGTCAACCCGCCTCCTCAGGCGCACCGACAGTTCCGGCCACTTGTCCAGGGACTCTACGTAGTGGCGGTAGCCCAGGTCCGACGGAACGCCGCCTGCGGAGACGTGAGGACGGGATATGTAACCTTCTTCCGTAAGCTGGGACATGGCGTTTCGCACAGTGGCAGGGCTCACTCGAAGTGCAGGGCTGCGGGCGATTCCGTCTGACGCCACGGGAGTGGCAGTCTGTACGTATTCATCTACCAGCAGGTTGAGGATAGTTGATGCGCGAGAGGTTAGCATCGGTTTTGCCGCCATTTGAGGAGAGGCCGTCTGTTTCCGGTAGAGCTTTTCACGAAATTAGCACAGCGTTCTCACTGGTGTCAAACCGCCTATGGAGGAAATCCCATCCGGCAGGATAACCCGTTTTCCTTCAAGAACGGCGCTGGTTGCCCTGGATGAAAATCGACCTACTGGTCAGCCGTAAAAATACAGGGACTGGCCGGAGGGCGGCCTTGGCTGCTGGCCCGTGCCAGATGTCAACTCCAGCGTTTCCTCGACAGGTACGATTGGAAAGAGAGGCCTCTCGCGGTCTGTTCAAGAGAGGACCGTGGTC